CACACACACACACACACACACACGTCTGGTCAGCGATCCTTGTGGGGACTCTCCATAGGCGTAATGGTTTTTATACTGTACAAACTGTATTTTCTATCGACCTACACCAACCCTACACCTAAACCTACCCCTCAACAACAGCAGAAGTTGTAAGACTCTGTCAAAAAAAATATAAAAGGTTTGTAGCACAACAAAATTTTGAGGTAGAAAAACAAGCATTTCACTTTTGAGTTATAATTTGATTTGCATTTATGTTAATGAAGTTTACATGACATATCTTGCATCTTCTGAATCATCTTGTTGAAGATATTCATTTAAATAAATGTTTATTATTCCCCACTCTCCCATCTATTGCATAGCTACTTTTCTCAAAATATCTACGCAAAAGTGTTTGTCAAAAACGAACTACAATTCACTACAATTTAAAGTAGATTGCATTAACCATGTTTATGTCAATAATATTCATGATGGCATTACAGTATAGTATGTGGTATTCTGAAGTGATACTGCATTTCAAATGAATTCAAGAGTTTCTGATTACTGCATAATTATCATACACATATAATGCAGAATTTAAAAACAGTCCATGTAGTCATAAGATGAGGTTATAAGAACTTCATGACCATCATCTTATGACTACAAGGACTGTTTTTACACATTTGCACACAAAACTATTTAAGTGAAATAACAAAGCTAAGAGATTCAAAAAACACGCAAACAAAATTGTTAACAAGAGCCACCAATTCAAAAATGTTTTTTGGTTGCTTTTAAGGTCGCTCTAGTGGGTTCTGTGTCCACAGACCACCATTTAGCACCAACTGTCATTCTACAGACAACAGAAACAACATGTGCATGCACCTGACACAGCAGAAAACAACACTAAACACACAAAGCACTGCATCTGTCACCAGAGGCTGAAAACACACAGGACTGCAGCTTCACATACCCTGATTCTGCTTTTTGTTTCTTACGCCCAAGATGTCTCACTGCTATCGGTTGGTAAAAAAGTACTACCTTGGTACTGAAGTACCAAAATGTTCTAGGATGTATAAAATTCCATCGTATTCTTAGTATCATGGCATATTCATTGTGTGTACCAAATGGCCTATTATCATCCCATTCTTGTACTAGTACTTTATTTGTTTGAAAGCCTGTTTACACCAAGGATGATAACTATGCTAACTATAAAGTTTTAATAGTAGGTCTAATTGCATGAGGATAGGGAACTTCACACCACAGCCATAACGATATGGACACAGATGTTCAGAATGATTTTTTCTTTTTTTTTCTTTACAGCTGAATGATTAAAACACTCTTGACAGCCAATCATAATCCACCCGACCGTTCAGGATTTAAAGTGGCAGTGCTTAATAAACAGAACGTCATCTTCCTTTGGAGTAATCGCTTAAATAGTAATCGTTTAATAATTGATTATCGTTTTTGGTGTGAATGTGTCGCAATTCATCTTTATCTAAATCATTTTCGTAAATTGCACTATTTACATACCTTGAATCTGTAAATTAAGTCCTGTTCACACCAATAACAACAATTATACAGTTTTAGTTCTCATGTATGAGGGTAAGGGATGATAATTATAACGATATCAACATATAGTAACGAAATCGTTTCAGAACGATCTTTTTTCCAGTTGACAAACAATAAAAACAGCCAATCAGAATCCATCGCATTTAAAGTGGTGCTGGTTGTGTGTTGGTGAAGACGCAAATAGGTATTTGGTGTAATCATTTTTATCATTAGAGTTAACTTTTGTTTTTCATTAGTCATTAACTAGAAGCCAAGAAAACATTATTTTCTGCTCTAAAAGAAACCATAATGGCAGACCACAGAGCCATGGCTTGTTTATAAAAGCCATCAGGGATGACATAAAAACATTACGCTCATCAAATCTGATTCATCACTAAACCAGAGACTGTTTTTAATTGTCATTGAACTGCAGTATTTCCATGTGTGGACACATTGTCAATGCACTCATTAAAGGGAATGCAACAGAGTTCATCCGAGTACGAAGGATATTATGAGAAAATGCCAGATCATGCAACTTTTCTCTTTCAAAACAATAATAAAAAAAAATAATAATAATATATATTTTTGCTGATAGATGCACTGCAGTAGCTCTGTAAGGAAAGATCAGCCTACATGGCTACATGCAAGAGAGTTTGAGTTAGGGCAGCTGGGAAAACATGGATAAACAGCACAATATGACGACACAAAGAATGCAACAAAGCCCCCAGCCTAGAATGGCCGTAAAATCCTTCCAATAAAGCAGTTATGTGAAAAACACCTCGAGAAGCACAAAGCTCAAAATCATCCAAAATTTAAGAGAAAACAGCTCCAAAATGTAACAAAAACAGTTTTCTTGTGGCACATATACAGCCACTGCAGTCCAACTGTGGATTTTCATGCAGTCAGATTTTTTTGATTACTTAATATAGTCCTTGGGAAGGAGAAGCATTAAGGGTCTTGGACAGCTTTTCAATACTCAATCACCAAGGGACTGGGCGGATCAGCACAGCCTCAGTGTGTTGGACCATTACATTATTTTGAGAGCACTTTGAGGGAGTTCACTATCATGCCCTTTGAGAACATAATGCTACACAGGTTTGAGATGAACAGATGAACAAAATAAGCAGAAACCTTGAGTTTCAATCTCAAGCATTTAAAGGATTTAAGTGGAAAGCCTATCCTATGGCATACGCCTCAGTTTTGAGGGCGTTTCTGCTGTCTCTGCTAACCATGAACTCTTCAGTGGGAGATTAGATACATTAGGCCTGTTTCAACAAAAATGCACCATGGTTTATGGCATTCCAACACAACTCTGAGCATTATGAGTGAACAGTTCAATAAGATCCATAAAAAAACCTACTATGCATCATATTGCAATTGCTGACCTGAATTAACCAAAAAAGGAATTCAGAGACAAGTTACAGTATCTTATATTTTTTATTATAACAATGACTTTCAAATTAACAATGATTTTCAAATGTCTACATGCATGAATGCATTTATCTACGTACTGCACTTATTTGTTTTATTTTATTTTTAATTAAAATGGGCCAGTTTTAGGAATACCTGTATACATTTCCATAAACGTGACAGGACAGCATTGTGGGTACCTTAGCCATCATCCCTTAAGCCACTCCCTCAGCATGAGCTCTAATTTAACCCCTCATTTGATCGTTCAGTTGCTCTTTATCTTCTGTACTCCGTTTCTGTAGTTAGTTGATCCTTCCTAATTGTTCATTCCTCTCCATCATCTTCTCCCTGGTCTCCATCCATTAGTAGGGCAGCATACTTACTTGCGGAGCTGAATCGCTGTAGGGACAAAAAGAAAGTTTATAACCTTAATGTTTGTGATGAGCAAGACAGTGCATCAAGAAAATAATCTTCCGGTATTTCTCACTGAATTAGTAGTTCCCACAAGTCCTACACAACAGTGGGCTGAACAACTGCACTAATTTGTAGGTTTCTACAATCAATCATATTTGGGGTCTAATTTTTCTTGTAATGTAGACTATGTCTACTCATCGAAGGGTCAGGACCAGTTAAAGTACTCACAGGAGGAGCGCTCTCTTCATATTTCTTTGGTTCTGAGGCTATTCTGGGATCTTGTTCCCATCCGACCTCCTTCCTGTCAATTAAAATACATGACAGGGTTTAAGAATAGATAAACTATATTATATAGAGATTAGAGATGCACCGATTGCAATTTTCTAGGCCGATTTCCGATTTTTTTGGAAGTGTGACCTGCCGATACCGATTTTTGCAGATTCCGATTTTCTAAGAACTATAATTGACAGCATATACAAACAAAAATCTATGCAAATTTCAATGCAAAAATTATTTACATAAAATAAATTATTAAACATTACAATTCCCCCAATCTGGACTAAGTTACAGATTTTCTCTCACTTAAACAACTCTCAAAATAAAGTGCTCTGTGACTGGAAAGAGGAAGAAATAGTTAACTTAAAATGCGTTTCTGTATGTAACAAAACAGATGTCATTTCCCACTGTTTATAAATGGTCATTTTTTCCCCCAACCTTATTATTAAATGTGTCATCTTTCACATCAAATTCTTACTTTGTTTCAATTAATTCAGTTAGAATAATACTGAAATAAAGAAACTGTAGAGTTGTTACCATTCAAATGAAATTAGTATTAACAAACTCTATCTTTCCACTGCTGATGAGTGTCGTGTTGATATTGATATTCGGGTAAACATCATGGCCATATAATGATCTAAATCATATTTTGTAAATATTGGCATTAGATGCATTTACACAGTTTGATGAAGCTGAGATGCCATAAATGCATTTACACTGTAAAATTTCAAATGCATAAATAATTTTATAAGATTAATGTTTTACATATTTTATAAACATACAAATAAATGTTGAAAACACAATGTTGCAAAATTGACTCACTCGATTCGTTCAAAAACGTGGATTCATTCAGTAACGAAACACGCTGTGTGTTGCTCGGAGACAACAGTTCTGCTGTGGCTTTTATCGGAACTATTTTCATCAGCGAAATTGAGCAAAAACAGTCAATATTTTGTCTAAAATCTAAGTCACTTAATTTTAACTTCTTGTTTATTGAAATACTATTGTATAAATTCAGTGTCACATTGCAGTCGTCTTGATATTGATATTCGAGGAAACATCATGGCTGTATAAAGTTGCTTACCTAAATCATATTTTGTAATTTTTTTTTTCTACCGCAGTATGCATCTATACAATTCTGTGAGTTACTTTGTGTGTTCTGTCTCTCACACACTCAAGCTCCATTCACACTACAAGCGACACGATCCCATTCATTTCAATGGAGAGCTGGCGATTTCTGGCAACAAGTGCGACAGCGGCCGTTGGAGACGGATGGGGCGTGTCCAGCGACGCGACAAAGTTCAGAATCCTTCAACTTTATACAAATGAAGAGCGACTTTCGGGAGCGACAGCCAATAGGGAAAGAAGACTGTAGAGCTCATGTGATCGTTCTCCTCTCAGCCTAGATAAACATACGCAATGGAAAAAAAAGTAGGCTCCGTTTCTCATTCATTTTTGTTTGTATGAACAAAACCCTTAAAACAATGCAAATATATTTTTGGTAGCACAATCTGATAGGTAGCGTGTTTCGTCGGTACACCGGCGCCGCTGGTAATAAAAGGATCAGCTCGGAATCGGCAAGACGCGAGACTGACCGGCCGGTCACCGATCCGGGCCGGTCATGCGAAAAATCGGCCGATTCTGATCACTGGCCAGTCAATCGGTGCATCTCTAATAGAGATCATGATAAAATTTATGTTATGTTAGTGATAATAAGCTCTGCACGTTCTTACTTGATATGGATTAATCTAACAGCCTATCACACAGCAGAAAAAAACGTGACAACAGCCAGTCAGTATGTTGCTAATAAGTTTGCCGGTTCTGTGTCTGCGTCTCAATATGAGGACATGATGAACACATGAAATTCATCTCCAGACCTGCTCCGAGTCACTTCTTGATCTTTACGGTTTCATTTGAGGAAAAACTACTATCAAATACAAACTGAAACTCGAAGACCTTCATTACAACCCCCCATTGTTCAGTTTAACTTGAAGAAATTACAGAAATATTTTACTATTGCATACTAAAATGTACTTCCCAGATTAATAATATTTTTAAAGAATAATTTAACCAAGATATTTTTTCATCCATGTTTTAATTTATACAGTTCTGTTGTGTAACATCTTATTTGACAAAAAATTAAAATGCAATGTTTTATAATAAATTAATTGTTATTTTCACTGGATTACATTTTAAAAGATTGATTAAATTGTTAAAGTTTTATTAATTCATTTCATTAGACAAAACACACAATTTGGGAAAAATTTAATGGATTTCATGGGGCCCTAAATTAAAAGGTAGCCACTCTGTGGAGTTTAACTGTGAAGAAACAAGTTAGGGTTTACATTTATTCTCAAGGTCTTACAAACACGTGGAATGCATTTCCATCCCCAGTAATGGCAAACGAATATCGTGATGAAAAAAATGTTTTTTCCTTACAGCTTCATTTGTAATAAAATGCTAGTTGTATGGACTATTTTAAAGTCAGTTTTAGAGCTTAGCAGTTCCCATTTACTTTCAATATACAGAAAAGTCTAGAATTATTTTCCTCTAACTATATTTCAGATTCAGATACTGCTCTTCAGTCAATGTGATGTCTATGGAGTTGTGTAAATTTATACAGTACAAGACAAATTCACATTAATGAAGAATGCCTCACCTATCTGCAGGTTCCATCAGTTTCTCTTTGTTTGGGCAGTCAACTCCTCGTCCCCGACCCCCTCCTCTTCCAACTCCAACTCCTCCTCCCTGAGGCACAACTTTATCCTTTCGAATGCCATCAACCCGGTTTTCATCTAGCAAACAGAACAACGAACAAGTGAGGAAACGGTATATATTCATAAGATTTTTTCCACTCTTTTGAAGTTTTAATGTGGAGACTTTTAACCTTTTCCCGATACTCTCTCTTCTGCTGACCTAGAGAAACAGTGACGGAGAAAAACAAAAAGCGCATTAGTGTTACTTGTGCTTCATTGTGTTTTTTATATTTGTATTTCCATTATTTGTGAGAGAAATCACACCTGCTGGGTTTAAGAGCGCTTTTGTTGCTAGGGGCAGCTGAGGGTGGTCCTTCCTTCTCATTAGCACCACCCCCTGTGCTGCGTTTGGCCCAGGCGTTTTCTTTAGGTGGAGGAGCCGGCATAACTTTCAGTGGGAGCGCTCCCTGATTGGAAGAGGGTGATGGACATGATGGAGAGATCGGCTCATCCTCCTGTCCACTGAAGACTTCATTCTCTGAATGTTCACCATCTAGACACCTAGATCCTGAACATCACAGATACAGAAGTACTTATTTAACACTTTGTTAACTACTGGCAGGATCTTCTTCTTTTGTAGGCATATTTGCTTGAAATAAAAAAAAAAGTTTAAATGGCTGTATTTCTACTGTCATTGTAGACATCTCCAAATCATTGTTATTTTAGTATTATATATATATATATATATATATATATATATATATATACCAATACAGTATTTATTAATATTTTGAATTAGCTTCTATTTGTACATTTTCAATTTTCATTTAAATTGTATTTAAAGGTTCAGCAATTTCATGTACTTTAAACATTTGTATTAGTTTTTGTTCTTTCAAATATTTCTATTTAGCTTTAGTGTATATTAATTTTAGTATTAAAGTAAGTTAAGTACTTCAACTTAAACATTTCAGTTTCCAAGGAAACATTTCTAATGCTCATTTTAGTTTTTTCATCTAATATTTATATTTTACATTAGTTTATTTTAATTAACACATTTTTTTAAATTAGTTTTAGTTAACACTGCGTCAAACACGATCTGTCATTCTCAAAGAGAGTATGTTATTTGAAATAACTGAAATCATTTGGTGAAGTGATCTGGACATGTAATGCGATTAAGACCTTCCTGGAACTACTTTAGCCGTGCGTTTCCCTGAAAATAATTGCACGCCTTAGAACGTTCATCAGCCAATCAGATTCAAGCATCAACAGCCCCATAGTATAAAGCTAATACAGCCCTTCTACAAGGTTTCTTTACGACTATAACAGATTCTTTACATCTTTTATAGGGTTGGGCCGATAGACGATGCCATCGTTCATCGCCGATGGCCGACAGACATCATGATGTTGAGCCGGCATCGTGATCTACGGCCCACTACCGGAGAAAGCGGTAGTTCTTAAAAGCAGAAGAATACCAAAGGAACTCCGTTAATTTGACAGCAAAATACAACAAAGAATATCGTTTACATGTAGCGTGCATAGGTAGCGCGTCCATTCTCTCTCCCTCTCTCGCTGCGTGTGTGAAACAAAGCGACGGAGAGTCGTGCGCTTCACACTAGAGTTTACGGTACGTTAAATACAGGTGCGTTGCACATCCATTCAGATGAACTGAAAAACAGCACAGATCGCTTGGCGGAGAGTGAAACTCTGAAGCGCTCAGTCAGAGAGTGTTCAGCGAGTGAAAATATATCTGAGCTAAACTTATACTTAGCCTCCAACTCACACTGGCGAGTAAAATCTGATAATTTATTAGCCAGTGGCTAATATTAGACATAATTTAGTCGCCCAGAGTAAGATTTAGTCGCGTATGCGAGTGATTTACTCGCAATGTAGAGGGTTGTTCTTATATGTTCTGTTTTAATTTTAATTGTATTTAACTTTTTGTGAATTATGTGATGTGCTTTTGTCATTCAGTTGTAGTTAGGGTTTGTTTTAGTTCTTATTTAGTTTTTTTTTAATCCCAGTTAATAATTTTAGTGCCTCAACCTTTTAGTTTTTTTAGGCTTCATTTCATTTCGTTTTTTACTTTTAGTCTGTTTTAGTTTTAATTGTATTTTTTAGTTTTTATTTAATTTTTTAAATTTATTAAAAAAAAAAAAAAGAGACAAATTCAAGCACAAATTCTATAAATACTCTGATCACAATTTTTAAAGTTACTTTTTCTGAGACTCCAGATGTTCCCGAGCTGTATTCCATTTCAACCCTCCCCAAGATCCCTATGAGATTCACTTTTAGGCTATTTTCACACCACAGACCACCTTTACCCAAGTAGTTTAGAAAAGTGCTTTTACATCAACCCATCTATTCACCCATTCTCACCGGTCTCGTGGTCGTCTCTCAGAGACCCTTATCTTGTCCTCCTCCAATTGTTTCTGGAGTCGTTCTTGTTCTTTCTTTAGCCTCTCCTCCACCTCTCTTTCCTTGGCAGCCGTGTCCACAGGTTTGGCTGCCCCAAATATAGAGGAAGCCCTGCTGGAATTAGCCGTATCACTCTGCGGGGACAAGCTTCCACTCTGTTCCTCCTCTTTTGGGATGCTCCGTGGCTTCAGGTTTAACTTGGGCCTCTGTAGAGGGGCTGGAATGAAAAATCTCATATGATTAGTGACAACATTCCTGATATTAAACATGTATCTTTAAAGCTGAAGTGTGTAATTTCTGCCTTAACATTTTCTCATGTACCCCTCTCATCTCGTCCATCATCCCTCTTGTCTGAACGCTCTTCTCGATCTCCATAGCGATCTCCATCTCGCCGGTCATCATAGTCTCGCCTGAAGCCACTGCTGAATCCTCGTCGTCCGCCACGTGAGTCATAACCTAAGACAATCACAACCATAGCATTACTTACAAAGCAAACATTAACTAATAACACACCAAAAACAAAGAACCTCAAAGAGAAATTAACTTGCACTAGCATTTACATTCAATTTGGGCATCATATGAAAAATTAAGCAATGTTTTGTGGAATAAGCGGAAAAATGGACGAAACACTACAAACCTCCACGATCATAGTCTCTGCTACCTTTGTCATCGTAGCGATCCCTTCGGTCTCGGTCGTCAAAGCGATCTCTTCCACTGAATCGATCTCGACCGCTGTCATAACGATCATCACGTCTTGGAGCGTCTCTGAAGCGGTCCGACTCATAGCGGTCACGTGACCCTGCAAAAAAATACCACAAGGCATTTCACTAGAACTCACGCTACACCTATGTCATCCACTGGAATGCCACTCTCTCGTGAACATGCGTACAACAGTTAGCGGAAGCTAGAGATTACCGTTTATAAAGTTTTAAATATGGATATTTGTCTTACACAAATGCATTGCTTCAGAAGGCCTTTATTAACACCCTGAAGCCATGTGAAGCAGAGGTGGGAGTAAGTCACACATGTGCAAGTCACAAGTAAGTCTCAAGTCTTAACCTTCAAGTCTCAAGCAAGTCCAAGTCAATTTTTGTGAGAATCAAGCAAGTCAAGTCACTGCTTTATGTCAAGCAATTCAAGTCAAGTCGTAGCTTGGGTCAAGCAAGTCACTGTCAAGTCATAGAAATGTTTGATGATTTAACTGAATTTATATATTGAAATAACTTAAAACTACAGTAGGTATGGACTATGGGAGCTTTATTTGCAACAACAACAAAAATTGCAATATGCATTTCTACTCAAAAGTTGTCCACATACAGCAGAGTTGTTAATACAATAAAAATCTAAAAATAAATAAATAAAAATTAAAACTACATAGCCTAAAAATGTAAATGTAACTGAAATTAGTCTAACATAAAAGCATGAAAAGTATTTAGATACAGCTTTTTCAATATGCCTCAAACATTGCAGAAGACCATGAAAAAGTATTAAATAATTCATTCAAGTATAATGGTTTCTATGCCACCAAATGGCATTCTTGAAACGGGCATCACCTTTATGGGACATGAACACATCCTTAAGTTAGAGTCTTCCTTTTTAACAAAAGAATAACAACAAGAAAAAAAATATTAATAATTGAATCACACAAACCTTGCACCTGTTTATAATGTACATTATTAATCTGTGAGTGTGTGTGTGCGTGTGTGTGAGGGAGAGAGAGAGTGAGTGAGTGAGAGAGGTGATTTGAGTGAGTGTGATTTATTAAAGGGGTCATATGATGCTGCTAAAAAGAACATTATTTTGTGTATTTGGTGTAATGAAATGTGTTTATGCGGTTTAAAGTAAAAAAAACGCATTATTTTCCACATACTGTACATTATTGTTTCTCCTCTATGCCCCGCCTTTTTGAAACGCGTCGATTTTTACAAAGCTCATCGGTCGCTTGCACCTGTTTATAATGTACATTATTAATCTGTGTGTGTGTGTGTGCGTGTGTGTGAGGGAGAGAGAGAGTGAGTGAGTGAGAGAGGTGATTTGAGTGAGTGTGATTTATTAAAGGGGTCATATGATGCTGCTAAAAAGAACATTATTTTGTGTATTTGGTGTAATGAAATGTGTTTAT